AAATAACAAAGAATTAAAACTGGAGATGCACTAACATTTTCTTAACCACTTCCTGCCGGGGCAGTTATCGATGTTGATGATGCAGGGGCAGGATATTTATCATATTTTTCCTGTTTTCAAATTTCTTTAAAAATTCCTCTTCATTAACTGCACACTTATACCCACACAAAGTATTGTCTGGTCTCCACTCTAGCCTGACGGACAAAATCTATTGACGCCCGAGTATTTCAGCCAGGTCTGCAGCCTTGTAAAAAGAGCCAAGATTGCGCGGTGTTATCTAACTTTCTTTCGTTCACGAACCTGCCACACTGCGCTGCTGACCTCTTTTCAATAGGGGCCAGATTAGCATGTAGTGGTGCCGTGTAGCTCATCGCTGCGGGGGTGGAGTGCTTTTGTCCGCGGTGGTAATCCGCTCGCTCTACATGCCCCAAACCATGGTATACTGTTTCAAAACAAGGCTGGACTATCTCCACTTTTGAGAGTGAAAAAATGTCAGTAATTCCCAGAAGCCTGCATGGTCTTTTGTTCCGAGTATGGTCTTTTGTTATAAGGACCTGTTCCTTTTGTCCGAGTTCTAAGACCCCGGCCACACATATAAAGCATACGTGTCCGGATCCAGAATCCCCGGCAGGAAGTGGTTATTAAAGTTGCTTAACTTGTTTACACAATAGTTGAAAAGGAGTCTATCATGCGTGCATAACCTGCAGATCCAATCTACATCACTATTTTCCCCCGCAGGAAATGTAATATTACAACCTCAAATCCCTGGTTTCAAATGCTCCTCTTGAGGGTGAAGTTTCACTTTCGTACCTTGCTTTGGAAGGTGCAAAACAGGTGGGTGAGGAAAGGATGTTGCCAGGCAAGGCCCAAGACGTGTCTCTCCACCATGGTGCACTCCACGTCATCATCTTCCAACACCACATCCTTCTTGAGGGCCTTGATGGCGTAGTACTTGTCAGTGCCCTTACACTGAGCTAGCATGACCTGTTAAAACACACGGTGGCATTAAAAGCCACATCAAACCAGGATTATCATATGTTTACATGTACGTTGCATAAGGTTTGAAACAACGCCTTCGGCTTCAAGCTTCACCAACATCAAAAGATGTCTTTTTCCCACTTGAACCCCCTCCTGGAACATTCCAGCATCCTTTGGGTAATCTGATGGAAACCCCAACAAGTCATACCCAATACACTTTGGCATTAACATGTGCAAAATGCTTAACAAAAAACACTATTTGTCCAATTACTTTCAAACAGGCCAGTATTTTCCTTTACATGTAATAGTATTTATTTCCTTTTATCTTTCATACAGTAAATGTGTAATTTTTCAACCTGTGGATTATTCTCTTGTGTTTGTTCTGACAGCCATGGTCTATCCAGGCAAAAGGCACAACTGTGATGTCGAAATAGAACCGTGATTTACCTTTCCAAAACTTCCTTTGCCTAGAACTTTGACGAGAGTGAAATCCTCAATCTTGTACAGCTTGGGTGCAGGGGGCGGGGCTTTGTCCTCCTTGTCAGGTGGGGCTACAGCTTGCCACAGTGGCTCATAAATTGCCCTGATGCAAAGGTCAAAGCAGGTCGAAAGTCATAGCACGTGCCAAATTACACATACATTGTACATATACAAATGTACCTCTGCAACAATTCCTTACACACAAAGATACATGTGCAATGTGTACTAACAACACAGTACAGAAAACAAATTGACACGTCTAAATTTCACCCCAAACCCATTTGGGATATTGTAATATCCAACCAATCCATCTAGACTGTACTGTACAGTCCTTTTCCATTTATGTCTCATCAACAGCTGTATACAAATACATGCATTTGAGGCAGATTTCACCCCAGTTCAATGCCCTACTGTAGCTTTGTAAGGAGGCAGCATCAAGATTGGCCTTCGTTTTCATTCCTTGGTTCTTTGACTAATTGTGAAGTGTCTCCTGTTAACACCAGTGCGATTCTGCGGTTTCAATTGGCCAAAATGATGGGCTGCTCGTAACAGTCATGACAATTCACTAAAGCAAATGTAAACACAATACAAAAACAGATGGTACCGGTGGCTAGGACACGCAATGCCAGATGGCTGTGAAGGAAAGGAATGTATCGGTATCAACATACTGTACACTGAATCTGAGTAAAGGAAAAGAGGTTGCGTTCATAAAAATGAAAAGGATGTATCCATGTATAAGTACAGGACTCTTCAGTAAATATGCAATTCACTTGAAAAAAAATCTCATGTGGTGAAAACGCTACACTACAAAAATTGCTTGGTAGCAGTGAAATGGTGGATGTCTAGGTGTCAAAACGGTACTTTTGTGTCAATACATGTACCTCTATATGCACTTCATGGACACACAGGCTCCTGCAATGCTTGCAATAGTCTGCTCACGCATTATCTATATGTATGTTGGTGAACAGGTGACGTATCCCCAAAGCCAGAGATGAACTTTAATCACAAGGTTTCGATAGCAGTCTTGCCTCAAAGGCATTTTTAGAAAATTACATGTGTGTCTCAACTCTTGAAAATCTGGAGAGGGTCAACTGGGTTTTTATACCCAAGACAGAGTCGTCTGTGCTGTGGTATGTTGCTTCCTATCTCTTATATATTATCAATATTTCCATACACCTCTTATCAAGTTTGAAAAATAGTGCGAAACCAGACAAAAATACTGATACTGTGTTTTTGAACAGCACATTGAGCTCAAAGAAAATCTACAGAACACAGCATTCACCACACAATAACACTGACAGAGACAACCAACCTCCACAACACATTAGACATCAACAAAACAACAGGTATTCAAAACAAATTGTCAGGGGAATTGCTTTTCTGTCCCACCCCCCCTTAAATGCAACCCTCGAGTCAAATACATGCAGCAAACACTATGTAACATCAAATATCAAAGTGCTTATGGCAGTGTGGCTAGTGGCTCAGCTGGCTTATCCACATATACATGTATGTACATGTATACAGAGTGCACATTGGAAAACCGTGCACAAGAAGTATACTTACGATTTCTTCCCCAACAGTATCCTGATTAGCAAGACACATGTAAAGCAAAAGATGTGTAAGACTGGCTGAACTAGACAATTCCTGTCTTTGGCATTCCTTTACTTTCCAGACACTGTGGTACATAGAGTTCAACCAATCTACACTGAAGCATTTCTCATTTAAATGTACTGTTTTGATTTTTGTTTGGACACAGACCTCTTTGCATTAAGTGATTACAATTCTTTCTTCAGCTAGAGACACAGTATTACAGCCCCCCCGAGCTGATTCAGATTGAATCAAACTGTCCAACACTTCAGTTACTCCTAACAGTTTTCAGACACCTAACTTTGAGCTGAAAATTCCCCTAGGTAAAGCATCCAGGTACATGTACAGTGTATGCTGCAGTTTCAAAACTGCACTTTCAAACCCCACTGTAGTAAACTTTATTGAAGTTTATTTCTGGTTATCAGAAATTTCCTTTTTTTGCCATGAAATACTTGTTGTTCATGCAACACTCACCACAAACTTCCTCTCTTGGCAAATTTGTGGCCCCTTTTTCTTTTTGGTTGACATAATAAACTTCCCTCGCACATACATGTATCATTTCCCTGAGGCATACATGTAAACAGCACCTTAATAAAATTTTGTTTTGTAAATTGTTAACATGGAATGATATAAAAAGGTTTGCTGTTACTTTTCCACAAACACTGAAAACTTGGCATTTACTTGCTGTGTTTACTGCATACAATATCTACAGCATGATTAATGAGTTGTCTTTGCTGCAGACAGAGCAAGCCCTTGCACAGGCGGTGCCTAGAAATAAGACTTCTCAAGAGTGTTGACATTTTATGCAAGAGAACCCAGCCTTTTTAGAGAGAGAATAAAACATAGACTTACTCGTCATCATCTGAATCATCATGTAATGTCTCCGGACTTACAGCAGCACCCTTGCTGGCAGCAATGCGCTTCTTCTCCTGTGTTCAAGTTTAAAGATAATTGTTACTGGTATTATACACGGCTTTTTGAACATCTATTCTTAAAATCCCAGCAGCAAAAACATTGCAAACACCGTACATGTACATATACTTACTAAAAATAAATTGGTGTGAATACATATGAAAAAATTAAATTAAATGTAAATTGATATTGAGAACCAATGACAAAAAGTGTTAAGTTACATACATCAATATGAAGAAAAACATAAAAAAGATTCTTATTGTGATTAAAATCTTAGCAGCTCTACAATGGGAAAGTGCAAACCAAAAATACCTATTCACGCACAGCACCTCTAGAAATCAACATCTGGGTATTGCTATTTTAGTTGGTGTCCGACTGAACTTGAAACCATACAGAGGAGTGGATTAACAGTGTGTACAAGTCTATAGAGTAATGTTGGCAGTTACAAATCGGAAATTTCGGATGGTAATGCATGGACGATGATGGAAAATACTGAGAAGCATTTAGTGTATGGTGCAAAGTTGTGTTAAAATGTGTTTTTTCACTTGGATTTTCAATGCTCAATATTTTTCAGAAACAATGTTGTACTTCTGATAAATTAGAGCTTTGGAGTTTGAGCACTTCCACTGCCGTGCTGATACATGTTTTCAACAAACCTTAACATAAAATATCCAGGACTTCTAATGTTCATTTAGGAAATGATTAACTGCTATTCTGTGTTCATAGCCTCAGCTTTGTTTCTTAACCCCTTGATGATGGGAATTTCTTCGCGAAAGCCGACTCCAAGAATTCCAGCCTCGCTTGGCCACAAAGGCCACCTGCCAAACCGCAGATTCTCGGTTTGTGGCCCTGCGTGCTCTGCACGCTTTGAATTACACAGTGAAAAGGCTGATTGTTCGGTGGCATGCTGCTCTACTCAAGCTTCCACATTCCCGTTGCCTCTTTTCTAAGTAGGGACTATTGTGAAGCTGGTGATTATGATGCAAATTCGGTCTTTTCATTTCTGGGCTACGCACAAAGACCAATTACCATATATACAAGAGCCAGGGTTTGCCTTCTTTCACCGTGTTCGCTCGAGCGTTGGCCGAGAATAATAGCTGAAAAGCGGGCTGAGGATTTCAATTTTTACGGCGGCTCTATCTGTGTCCCGGCATGAAGGGGTTAAAAGATAATTTGCTTATTTCCGAAGTGCTCTGGAAAAAGCTCACAGTACTCTTTCAGATAAATTCCACAAAACATGTTAAATCACATTCAGTTGTATTTTTCTGAATGGCCATTAGACAACAGGGATGTTTGACATTTGTCATAATTTCACCTTTTGTGCATTTTGGGTTTTCAAGAATGACCCTAGTAATGCTAGAGGAAAAAAACAAAGTGTGCCATGTTAGATCTTTAATAGAAGACAAGCTACTTTATGTACATCTGTGCAAAAAGGTTTTTAAATTTGCC